TCAACTCTGAAATCTCAGGAGCACCAATTGGATATGGAGACTGTCCTTAGAGGAACAAAACTCTGCCCACACTGTCTACTCAGCCTTGCCCTACTGCAGATTTACATGGGGTGACCCCATCACCATCCTACGATAAAACACTTCCTTGTGTTTTCTGCAGCTACTTCTCACTTTGTAGCAAGGTAGTGCTAGAGAATTTTTGCTACATGAGCATTTCTTCTCTAATTGCATGGTGAAAACTGAGGACTTGCCTGTTGGAGGGCCTCCCCCTGCACAGGACTAGAGTCCTTCCCTCTGGAGACCATAATGATCCTGCTCTTCGGGGCAGTGTGGAGCTGGTCACAGATACCAAGGGGACAGGAGAAGAATGGGGGGAAAGATGCTGTGCTTGCTGCATGCACCATGTCAGCACTCTGGTTTTAGCCCCTCCATTGGACATGCAGGGCCTAGTGTTGCTCTATGCTGATCAGCTTAAAAAGCCTATGGAAGGCAGAGAGCGTGCACTGCCCAACTTCTGGCTGTGAAGAAGAGATGGTGGATAAAGGTTCCTATATCCATGTCATCACAGGTAGCGCAAGGATGCGCAGAGGGGCCATCCCCATCTCTTCAGAGTGGGGATGCGAGACAGAGAAAGAAGATGGATATCTGATGTGGATATGTTGGGTTAGTGTCCCAAAGATAGAAGAATAGGGAGTATTTGTGAGATGGGGGAAGCATACAGGCTAGAACACAAGCAGCCCCCTCCGCTCTGTTGCAGTAAACTTCCCCCTCCCCAAAGTCTGTTGCTCCCTTACGGGTAGGGAGGTGACTGCTTCATCCAGTTTTAAAATACAGGAATGTGAAAACCGTTAAACTCATCTCAGGAACCGAATTGCCAAAGTTAAAACAAAACAACAAAAAACTTGGTTCATGGTGGTGTTGAGATTTGGGGGGCAAAGAGATTTTGAAAAAAAATATTTAAAAAAGAAACAACAACCCTGAGCAGCACTGAAAGGAACAACATCCGAGGAGCTCCAGGAAAACAAGGCATGAATACAGCCAGTCAGTAGCATTGCTCAGCTGATGTTCACAAGAAGGTTTCAACTTGCTCTGTCAGAGACCTCAGTAAACCTTAAAGACAGAGAGAGCATTTAGAAATGCCCCTGAGGTTTTCCGTTACTCTGCAGTAGGCTGGGTAAACATGCCAATAAATACTGGAGAGAGAGAGAGGAAAAAACCTTCCAGAGGAACAGACCCAGGTTTTCAGCTGGTCAATCTTTTGCATCCACGGCTGCTGCTGTTGATCGGCACTGGGGAGAAAGAGGCAGAGTTGAACTTTTGCTGAGTATTAAGCGGTGCTGCGGGTATTTCTGGGAAAAATAACTTGGAGGAGGCTGAAAGTTGCATCTGGAGCCATCTGAGGGAATGTCCTGATCGGAGACAGAAAGTTAACGCGAGTCCTCCTGTCGTGGGGTGCTTGTGAGTATGGAAATCTCTCTGCTTTCCTGGAAGATGAGTACACGTGGGCTACCGAGCCTGTCTGCTGTGGACTACAGGGGAGAAGCTCCCACAAATGCAGTGGGAATTGCTGCCTGTGTCAGTGCGGTTTATGATAGCCCTGACTGATAGGTAGCCTCTTAATTCTTCTAGCTGCTTGTTTTAATGGCGTTGCTTGTTTTAGTGCTGCTGCTTGCTCCGCCTGTGGGACAGCTCGTGGTGAGTGGGGACGGCTGAACCCCGGGCTTTTGCAAGACCGGTGCTTGGCCCTGGTGCTGGTTGTGTTGTCTTCTGGAAGAAAATAGCTGGGTTGAATGGCTCTGAAGTTGAGTTTGTAACTCCTAACTTCTTCTAAGCCCAACTGAATGTGGAATCTACATGGTAACAGAAGAACACCAGCATCAAAACAACGGGAAAAGACAAATTGTTCTGCATGCCCTACCTAATTGCTGGAGTAGTCTCAGCTGACTGTGTATACTAAATTAACAAAGAGGAAGGCAGGTTTTCTCAGATCAGAGATTAATGGTTTCTGGCCAGCAGTTTAATGCTATTGCAAATGTACAAAAGCACCTGAGGATGGAGGTGTATAATCAACGACTCTTTAGACTGTTGGAAATGATGTGTGTTTATCTAATCAGACACACTGTGCTTCTTTCTTGCCTTCCTGGAAGTGGCCGTTAAAAGCTGCTGTGACGCACGCTCACTTCCAGATGCTGGCCTCTCACCTCTTGGGCGTTGCTTTGAAACCCAAACGTACTACTCGATTAAGTATTTGTAGATGGCTTTTATTCCAGACCCACCTCGCTGCCCCACATGTAAGACTGTAGGTTATTCTGAGGGAAGCTGACCACCATGAGGAGCTATTAGCAATGTCCAGAACATCATCGAGCGTTAACCAGGAGCCACTGGGCAGAACCAGCTGCTGCCTTCCCCTCGCTGAGCTCCTGCCTCGCTGACGTGGCAGCAGCCAAAAGCCCGTCGCTCATTTGGCAGTGTAGGAGGAGATCCGGGGCCATCCTGCTGCTGCACAGCTCCCGCTTCCATGCTGATGCCCACAAGTTGCTGGTGGGAGCGTGCTGGAGCGACAGGAGCTGGGTGTGGGGTGTCTTGTGTCTCCCACTAAGTTGGTACAGGACCTCAGCTTTGTTTAAGGGCTCTGGGTCCTCTTGGCTGAAAGCTGGTATCACTGATGCTCGGGGGAGCGTAAGCTTGGGTGACATTTAGCACGTGGAAGGGGAGTCCTGTACGGAGTGAACCGGTGTCTCTGGCAGGGTGGTGGGTTGTGCCTGCCCACTCAGAGTGGTGCAGCTCTCTCCATTTTGTGGTGGGAGAGGGCTCAGACTTGGGCTTGATCATTTCAGCTGTCTTCATGGTTGAGTGCACGTCCAGCCTGCGATAATAGATGTGTGCGGCTACCAAATAACCATATAATTGCATTGGTATCCAACAGCATCAGCCTTTCCCATCCTGCTCACAGGAGGTGCTCAATATATGTTAGCAAATGTAAGATACCTTAGATAGGTATCTTTGAAAAGATAAGCAAAGGCTGGGATAAAACCAGTAAAATCAGGAGTTCCACCTGCTTTGTTGAGGGCAGCAAAGTCCTTTTTTCCTGCCTGCTCCAAAGGGACGGCAGCCCCGTGTCTGAACCCTCGCCAGCGTCAGCAGCAGTCGCTGACCTTCCGGGATCAAATCCTGTTGTTGCTGAGCTGCTGCCAAGTGAGCAACTGGCTTTGCGGTGCGGAAGGGGGTAGAGGTTGGTAGGAATGGCGACTGCTTGTCATTATGTGTTTTCCTTGCTCTCCGGCCTTATGGTATATTCACGTCAGTATTTGTTCTGCACCTATTCACCAGCCCTGAGGTCAATCCCTTCTGAACTCAAAGCCCAGTAGTGAAATCACCTTAAAATGAAACCAGTGCTAATGTGCTTTTTGGAGTAGAGAGACAGAAATGTGTAGAAATATTTTGCTGATTTGAGTCTGTATAGCTGCAAGAAATAAATCACTTTAGGGCAGCAAAGAAGTAGCGAGGAGCAGAGACGTTAACTTTCGGTCATTTGTAAGAAGTGATATGTGTGCATGACCCTTAGTGAAGTCCCAGCTGATCTGAGCTTCTCTTTGTATCTCATGAAGCCGAGCAAGGTTGAACTTTTCAAAGCAGCAGTGTCTTTGGAGTTGCTGTAGTTTAGATACAACTGTGGTTGCGTCTGGAGGCCTGGCTGAGCTGGATATGTGTTAGTGCAGGAATCCCTGCTACCTGGTGGCTTTTTCCATTTAATCACCATGTTCTGCTTACAGTCAGTCTTGAATGGGTTTATGAATTTTGTGCTTTCTGTCTCATTAAGTTTGCCCAGTGAGCAGCTCAGTGGCACCCTGGGTTCGAACAGGGTCCGTGGGGGCTGCTGTAATATAAGCAGTGGTGCTGTTAGGTGGTGGGAAGCTGGGGACTCTTCAGGTTTGGTGAGTTTGCTCTTGCAGGAACCACACACAGCTCAGTGGTTTCCGTTCTCAGGGATCAGCATGGGGATGGGTTTCAACTCACATACATTCATTCACCCTCCCCCAGGATTTCCACTGAAGCTTGGAAGTTGTCATGGGACCTTGAGTCCAAAGCTTTCATTTCTGCCCTGTTTGGTGTTGCTGGTGGGGGATGTCATGTGGTGCTCAGCTAAACTGAACCTTCAGGAAAGATCAGGGAACGGAAGCCAGGAGGGTGCAAGGGCAGAAGTTTTCCCAGATGTGGTGAAGGCATCCCCAGACCATTTTGTAAATCCTGGCTGTTAGTGAGCAAGGCAGTAGCAGCTGGAAGCGGGCTGGAGGGAGATGTGGAGGTAAAGAGAGTTTGGAAGGCAGGAGTCAGAGCTGAACTGTGTTTCACCCACACTGTTATAGCTGGAATACTACGTTAAAACTAATCTTATGAAATCTCAAATAAACATCATGAATGCTGCCAAATTTTGATTTCTCTGTCAGGTTCAGGGCAAGGCTTTGCTCCCCTTAAGACTGGGCCTATGAGACTTAGAAAATATTTGCTCCTTCACTTAGTTTTCTAGCCCTTTTGACTGTGGAGAAAAGCTCAAAGCTACATCCCAGATACATTAAGTTAAAAACATGAAGATAAAGCAGCAAATCCACAGATGTATTAAACTATTTTTTTGTTATGATTTTTTTCAATGCCAGTCCCATGACTGTTGTGGTTTAGAGTGGGGTTTGTATCTCCTGAATTTCAGAGACCTCATTTGAGATCAGAGTCGTAGTGTGACCCGGCTGCGGGTTCGATAGCAAAAGCTTCACACAGCCGTAGCCGCTGCTGACTGTGCTGTGATAGTGCTTTGAAAAAGACCCAAAACAATAGAGGAAAAAACCACATTTGAATCTCAAGGACAGCACAGCTGCAACATCCCGTCCTTTTGACTTTGTAGTTAACAGGAGCAGAGGATCTGCCATGGTTTGAATTTTATCTGCATGATATTAGTGCTGTTGGTGAGTGACACCCTCCTGATGTGAGAGTGCGTTGTTTTGCAGGAGCCAGGCCAAAGAAACTCCAAAAGAACAGCATGGACAGCTTAGACCTCCTGAAGTTCCCTTCTGAAAAGGTAAGCAAAGATGTCTGGCCTCAAAGATTAAATATCAGTAGGAATCTGTAATGGCTTGTTGACTGGCTTCATTTGCAGGGAAGCATGCAATTAGCAGATATCATTGGAGTCAATGGGATTAACCAAAGAGGGTTTCTAGAGAGCTTGGAGGAGAGGAACAGCTGGTCTGACTAAGAAGGCACTTAACAACCGAAAGCTGAAAAAGCCACTTCTGTGCTTTTTTGAAAAAACAGCTCTTTATTGAGAGGATAATCATTAGCATTTTAGCCCCTTTAGTGGCTGGTGGCAAATCTCAGTGCCCCGTTAGCCCTGTGGAGTGCTGCATTCGGCACAAGTAGGGAAGGAGAGGTCAGAAGCAGGAGATGGTGCGTTGCAGGAGGCAGAGGGTTTTGTTCCAAGGAGCTCTGCTCTGGTTTGCTGCTGGAAATGTCAGATCCAAGCAGATCAGCATTTTCTCAGTCTCCCCAGACCAAAAGCTGTTTCTATAGTCAGCTGGGAGGCACTGAGCCTTTCCACCTACGGGGATCACTTCAGTTTCTCAGAAGATCCTGTGCAGGATCACTGGGTCTGCCCAGGGGCAGGCACTGGTGCTGCCATGGGGCTCAGTCATGCCTGTTCCCAGAGGAGGTGGCCAGGGGGGCAGCCGTGCTCTGCCTTCTTGGAACATCTTTGGCACAAATAATTTACATTCATCCAGCGCTTTCCAGGCACAGCTCTCCCAAGTGTGCCAGGGAGCATTTCCCCTCTTACAGAAGTGTCACAAAGGAAACAAACTTGCCTGATTTGCAGGTAGGTGCAGATGGTCAATGAGAAACAACCTCAGGCTTGCAAAACCATTTGGGTTCTTAAATGTCCCGGGAAGCACTGGGAGGACCAGAAGAAACCTCCTCCCTGAATTAACTCTCTTTGGGAGTTAAATGCCAGACGCACTTATGTATTTTTATTAATTCTCCCAACTGCCGAGCGGCCGTTTTGGCTCCTGCCTGCTTTAACCAGTGCGACTCCATCTCTGGGGTGCTGACAGCAGGGGCAGCGGTACCCAGTGTCAGGGGGAGACTCGATTGTGTATCCTCTTCGGAGCAGTATGGCCCAGAGGATGCTGGCAGGGAGAGTTTTGCTGCTGTGTGATTTGCTGCTAATGCTGTTGGTTTCCTAGTCTTTGCTGTAAAAGCTGAGCCTCATTCGATAGTTCAGGCAGGGTTATAGGATTTCAGGGATTTCAAGGGGAGGCTGGAGTAAACAGGAGCTCTGGGTAGTCCGTAACCATGGAGTCAGACACGAGTTGTCCCGTTCCCCCTGCAGCGGTCCTGTGGGGTGTGTGTGAGTTCACCTCTCCTTCGAAGAGTGATTTGGATGCAATTCCCCTTCCTCTCCCCTGCTGCTGCTCCCAGGGAGAGATGATTACGGTCACGGGAGAGGGTTGTTTGCTTCAAACTTGCTATGGTGAGGGTGATAAGATTGTAAAGAATAAATCAGTGGAGTGAACTCTGATCTCTCCAGCACCCTCTTGTTATTGCCTCGCTCTCTCTGCCCTTCATTTCTGCCAGACATAGCCTTCAAAGTCAGCAGGGACCCCTGTTACCACAGAGGCCAGGAACTCTTGTCCAGTGCCTCTGCACAGAGTCTGGGCAGAGCAAATCTGCCAGGACGCACCCGTGTCGGCTCTGGATGCCCCTGCGGATAGTGGGAATGCCACTTCCCTGTCATCCTGCTCTTTCCAACCTGTGCCTTATTCCTTGTTTTGAGCTTCTCTGGTTTTAGCTCCCAGCCATTGGTTCTTGTTTATTACTCTCTCTACCAGACTAAAAATCTCTTTATCACATGCTGGTTTTTACCCTGAAGGTGCTTACATGCCGTAATTGAGTCATCTATTCTTTTTGTCATGAACTACACAGTTTGAGGCCTCTAACTAAGGCAGTAAGGCATTGGAAGGCGGTTTCTTTCCAGTTCTGAAACCCACTTTTGTGGCAGCTTTTCAAAATGTGGCGATGGGCCTGGCTGCAGTTGGTCCCATCAATAGCATCTAGGGAAATGAATCTCTCCTTACTTGTGCTCACTACTCCTGTTTGTGTTGCAAGAGATGGAAAAGTCATGTTGGCTACAGCATGCTACTGGGCTATTGGTGTGCTGTGAATTCAGATCCTTTTCAGTGTCCTTGGCTTTCTGGTGTATGTGCCCTAAAATCCCAACCTTGTGAGCCCTTGGGTCATCTTCTGAGCTGTGCTCAAACTTCTTTCACCTGCATGTAGTTGCTGCAATGATGACACCCTGGGGAGTCGCCTCAGTGCTTTATGGATGATAAAAAGGTGGTTTGCAGCCTGGAAACGCTGAAGCCCAGAGCATCAAGCAGATTTAGGCACTCAGTTCCCACCGGTTACATGTAAAGTGCCTGGTGCCTCTAATAAGCATCTTTGGAGCTAAATGCTGGATACTGCTGGTGCTTCTGTATGAGGGCCTCATCTGCATGACAGCAGTAGGGAGGCTGCTGTGATACTGCCGGCAGGGCCATTAGCCCCGGTCTTGTGGCAGAGAAGGGGTAGAGCTGTGGGGTCTTAGGGGAAGTGAGAATGGGGGAGCCAGGCTCGGGCCAGGGCCTGGAAAAGCAAAGTGAGATGCTGCAGTGAGAAGGGATAAAAACTGGAATTCAGAAGATGTGTAATCTCTGTCACCTCAGTTTCCCCATGCATTACACGGGGATGATAATCCTGTACTTTATATGTCTGTGGGAGCACTGAACACAAGCATTTAAGAGGGCAAAGGAGGACAGCAGTGAAAGAACAGGGCTTGTAACCGTCTGCTGTAGTTAATCATGTTACCCTGTGGTCCCCACATGCTTCTGGTAGCGTGAGGGCTGGCAAAAGAGCTGAGGGGGACTCCAGCCATTCATGTTAATCTGCCTTTTAGGAAACCACTGGGTAAGGGCCCTGCTTGTTGAAGATAGTGGAAGACACTGAGGCAGGCAATGCTCCATCTGTGCTGGGTGCCAGATCCTAGAGGTGGGAAATGCTGTGGAGCATCTAGCATAGCCATGTTCCCTGGGGCATGGTCATGGTTTGGTGTGGGCTGCTGCATGGCTGGGCACTGGGAAGAAGTGAAGATACAGCAAGTGGAGGGACTTGTGCCAAGAGTTTGGTATCCTGGGCAAGATGAGCTTGCCGCTCTGTTTGGAAGAGGTTTTTATGAGTGCAGTTGCCAGAAATCACTAGCAGCAGTGACTGCTTCTGGACCTTTCATCCATCATTCCCTATGCCTGTAAAGAAACCAGCCGTGCTTCTACCTGCATACCTGGCTCTTTTAAAGGGATGCTGCTTCTCCCTGTGGAGAAGTTGACTGCTGTGTTTTGTTTGGGTGATGCTTCCTCTCCACTCATTAAAATCGCACACTGCAGAGATAGACAAAATGTCCTCATTCAGCCCTGCACATGACGAGTGGCACCTCACACCACATTAACTTCTTCCTTCTGTGCATCTCCTGTTCTGTGGATACTTGCCAACAGACCTCCACGTAAACCTGAGACAGGCAATTTGTGCAATGACTGTTTCTTCCTTTCCCAAGGACCAGAATGGGGACAGCCATCATGTGGGAGACCTGAAGATCTCAGGAAAAGAATTCTTGTCATTACCTGCGAGGTCAAAGAAATACCGGGAGCACCAATCCAGTTCAGAGAGAAAGTCCCAGGGGTCAAGTATGTTGCCACTGGATACCAGCGAAGTCCGAGTCCGGGTGTCACAGTCGGTAGGAAGATAATTTTTTCCCGTGGTACTGATCTGGGAGTTTCTTATAGCATGTTTGTTCTTACCTCATTTCTGACCTGGTATGGGGGTGGCAGTGTGGCCTATTGGCTGGAAAACAGAGCCTGCTGTTAACTGTTTGGGCAACTGTACACAAATCATTTTGCCTTTTTGAGCCTCAATGTCACTGTTCTTTTAAGAGATCCATGGTACCAACCTCACTCATGAACTGGTTTGTGAAAGCTTAGTATTTAGTGGTGGTATTTGTAACCTTCTCTTGAGCGATGGGAGTCTAGACTTGAACTTCCTTGAGTTTGGGATGGTCAGGATGTGATGCCTTGAATTCCAGAAGAACACAGCAATTTGGACCCCTTGCTTTGTGGAGCCTGACTTGATCAGCTTCCTGGGGTTCATGGGTAGTGAGCTTGTTGCCTTCAAGAAACACAGCACTTTTCAGGTTTTTGATGAGCAACCAAAAATGCTGGTTGCCTTTGCCAAATCTAGGGCCTTAGGTATTGTTCCCTCTCATCTCCTGACCACGTTGGTGGTCTCCTGAGTGGCAATGTGCAGAGTGGTCTCTTTGAATTCATCAGTCATTAGGCAGAGATGATGGAAAATCATTGTCTAGGAGCTTCTCTTTGCCAGCAAGTTAGGTGGAACATACTTCCTAAGAGCAGGAGCTGGCCCTGATATCAGTGATTTATGGGTTATGGGCATGCAGCAAGCCCTGTGTTGGGTGTTGAAGAGCTCTGACTCAGCCTGTGCTTGGCTCCCCAGACGGTAGTGGGGATCCATGTCCTGGAAAGCTCTCCACGTGCCTTTTTGATGTCTTTAGCTTGAATAATTGATCTGTTTGTTGGGAAGCCGTTATCTTCCGGTTGTGTTGATGTTTATGTTGCAACACATAGCAAATACAATGTACTGGGGAGGTTTCCTGCAGCTGTGTTGGTTTTGTTCTCAGTCCTGGAGACAGGGATCACACCGACAAATGATGGCATGTTTCTGGATCGTGGGAGGGGGCTTGGAGATATTTGAACTTGGCGATCTCAAGTGAGAAGCCCCAAGTCCTCAGCTTGCTGTTGCCAGGAGATATGGAGCATAACAGCAAAGATTTAATGATTGCATGGGTGCTTGAAAGTGTTTGGTCTCTTGCTTTATACTGAGACTGTAACACACTATCACAGTCCTGTGATCGTGCAGTGATTCCAGATGGAATAAATCTAAGCCAGGAAAGATAGGCCTGTTTTTTCTTGCTGTTTAAGAAAAGTGAAATAAAATATTTTCATACTGGGTAAGAAAGGATCTGAGGTGCAGAGCTTGGGATGAAGCCTGTCTGTAGAGTGGGGATGCTTGGAAGTGTTTCTAGCACTGAGTCCTTTGTTCCTGCTCTGCGAATCACGGGGAGAACATACCCTGCTGTACCTGTGTGCATGTGCGTATGTACACATCCCTTTTTGACATTCCTGATTTTCAGTCCTCTGACCACTGGAGACAGGATCTTTACACCAACTGTTTTTTTTTAGACCTCTCTGACCTCATTCGTCATTCCCAACAGTGCTCGTGGAAAAGGTCTAATAGGAAAAGCATTCCTTACTGCTCACCGGTGCAAACACGATCATTGAGAAGGAAAACAAAGCTCATCTGAGCCAGAAAGGAGACAGCAGCATGGGGGCATCCAAGGCAATACGAAGGTAGAAAAAACACACTTCTGCCAGAAATAGCCTTGTATTTTTAACTCAGACGTTCAGCCAGAAACCAAACAAAAGCCGTGCTCCATCAAGAGCAAGGCAAAAAGCATTCCTCGGGAGTGTGGCTGTGAGTACATAGGCTGTGTCTAAGAAAAGACCCCATGGGACATTGCCAACCACTAGTGACCTCTTGGCAGTACGCATCGGGTTTTGGGGAATGTCCATGAAAAATCAAGTGAAGACATAGACACACATGCCCCAGTCACAGGTGGTGCCTTTCAGTCTGCTGGGGTTCGTGCTGTTCCTGGCTCTGATGGATGTGTGTGAGCAGGTGAGGGATGCACTGCTCCTCCTGTCCTTCAGGGGATGGGTGACCACGCAGCAGGGATGGCAAAGCCCAGGGTTTGCACTTGCAGAGAGGTAGCTCAGGCTCTACTTGACTGCTGCAGCCGCCTTCTTTCACCAGCTCATCTTCCAAGGCCCTGACTTTGCAGTGTGTGTGTGTGTGTGTTAGCTCCCCACTTGCACTGGATTTGTGAGCTGAGCCCCAAGAGTCCATTTTTAGTTCAGGCATGGCAGGTGCACATGGTAGTGAAACAGCATAGAGTGAATTCAACAGGATATGCAGAGAAGCAATATGTGGAAAAAAATGACATCTTCCTCCGTGCAGACACTAAACATATCCTATTTTATCCCAAGAGAGAATAGATCAATGCACTCTACAGTGCTTGTGGCTGGAGGAGAAGGGCAACTGCCTGTCTTATGTTTTAAAGAATGCCCCTTATTTGGTATCCAATGGACCAGAGTCCATATCCCATAAAAATGACAGTGACAAGTGTTTTATTGGGTTTTCCTTCAGGCCGGTAGCTATACAGAGTTACATAGCATGATCAGGCTTGCGGTCTTTGTAGGCAGATGCTCTGAATGGCAGAGGGGAGTTTGCTGGGCAAAATGCAGGTGGGACACTGAAGCCTCCCAGCATTGCTCTCGGCGGGGCATCCTACCGTCCTTCCTTGCCAAGAAGGCCAGAGTCCCCAGCTAGGTTTTGCTGCTACCTGTGCATCCACAAAGTGAGGACAGGTGTATTTATATCCCCTTTCCTAAAGTTTACTGAAACACCCTCAGAAATCCAGGAGTTCTGCAGAAGCCAGAGCTGGAGAGGCTCAGGAGGCACCTGAAATCCTGCCCTGATCCCTGCAGTGCCTGGCGGTGCTGAATGCATGCGGTTTGTTCAGGCATGGGAGTAAACGGTCCGTCACCCCAGTGGCAGGCAGCAGAGCCCCACCGGCACATGGCTTACACCAGGTGGTTCAGCCCGTGCCCCGCCACACGTGAGACACCCTCCAGAAAGGGCTCTTTTGCCCGGAGAACATCTCTGCAGTATGTTCTGGTGGACAAGGCTGGGTTGCTTCAGGTGAATTGTGGTTTGTGTCGGTGCTCCCAGCTGACAGTTGTGCCAGCCTCACTTAATAGCATAGGCCAGAGCTCAGAACATTTAAGGTCAATGTCATCTTGCGGGTACTTGCAAAAAAGCAAAGCAACTCGTTGCATTCTGCTTTTGTCCCCATCTGTCAGAGGGCTACTGGGGCTGCATCAGTCTATTGTAGGGGAGCGTGGGTGGGCTTTTTTGAAAAGCTGTAATTCCCATCCATCAGAACCTTTTTTATCAAATGTAGCAAAACACACCCAAGATGAGAGAGAAGCTTTCCGTGGTCAGGCTGTTCAGACAAGAATCCCTCCAGATACCTCATTTTGTGAATGCTCAAAGCAAAAATCCTCTTTAATCCATCAGCAAACAGCAAGTCCTTAATTAGAGGTGGGCTCTAATGATTGATCTAAGGTGCTTTTGTGGGATGCCACAATACCTGCTGTCCCACCAGAAGGCGTGAGCTCAGACTGCACGCATGATCCTGGGTGCTGCTCTCCCACGGTCGTTTTGCCAAGGGGAGACGAGGTTGTGCATAGGAATGCTGAGGAAAAAAACTCAACCCGGGACTTTCAGGCCTCAAGCCGAGTGAAGTAATCTCTGGATAAGTCCTGCTGCCAGCACAGCCACTGACCTCCTTCCGAAGGGCCCTTCCTGCAGCGGGCAGGTCCCTGGGAACAGGAGGTCCTGCGGGTGCGGTGCCTGAGTCAGAGCTCCCGGTTTCGCTGCCCATCTCTGCCACCGACTGCCTCTTGTTTACCTCCGTCTTCCCCATCTGTGTGATGGGGTGATGCTGCTTCCCTGCCTACCCTGGGGAGGTTACAAAGGTGTGATGATGGCTGTAAAGTTGTTTGAGCTTTGGATGGCAGGAGCTGTGGTGGTGTTATTTGCATTGGTGATGATGATGCTAATTACTGAGCTGCTGGGAAACTCCCTATGGGAGGAGGTGGAAAAGGGGAGGGGAGGCAGGGAAAAGTGAAGGGAGGTGAAGTGAACTTGAGGAGGGAGAGGAGCCTGTCCCTGCTGACGGCTCTGTCAGGCCCTGGGAGAAGGGCAAAGCCGTGGGGATGCTGGGATGGATAGGGGAAGCCATGGCGCAGGCGCTGCGTAAGGTAGGAGAGCGTGCCAGGGCCCGCGGCAGGTCCCTCCGTTCCTGCCACTGCTGTGCAAGATGCGCGCGATGGAGAGCTCGCGCAAGAGGGTTGCGTCGCTGGCGGGGCAGAGGGATGGGCTTCCTTACCCCTTCTCCCATGGACCCGTGAAGTGGGGGAATTTCCCAGCCATGGCTGGTGGTTGCTGGGAGGAGAGGGACTGGCACTGTCTGGGTCTGGGGGACGGGCAAGGGCAGGGTCCTCTTCACCTTTGAGGTCGGGTTTGGAGCTCCCATGGGAATACTCAGGGCTGTGAGTGCCTGGTTCTCCACAGGCAGAGCAAAGGTGGGTTTGGTCTGGGAGAAGCTGTTGAGGGTGAGGATGGGTTTGGTTGCGTTTTTCCTCTGCAGCAGAGCCCTGAGCAAAAGTAGCTGCATGAGAGCTCGATCTCTGTGCCCGCAGTTGCGGGCGGTCAGATCCGAGTGCTCCCTGGGACTTCTGCACCGCACACCTTCTGAGTTTCCTCTCTTTTAAAAGTAACGTCAAAGCAGAAGGTTTTATACCACATGAAGCTTGCAGACATCAAAAGCTTGCTCATAAATTTAACCCCTCTGCTCTGCTGTGGAGAAGGTCATACCGCTCCAACTCTTCATTGACTTGGTAACAGTTGTATCTTAGAGGGTTACTAGAAGGATGGGATTTTTCTTCACTTCAGAAATATCAGAGGTTTTGTGTCCCTCACCCCCTTCTCTGAGAGAGCAACCACTGTGGAAAAAGGAGAGGGTCCATGGAAGAAAGG